TATTACTCTTTCCTTTATCCCTGCTACTTGTAAAATGTAAAAATACTCACTTTCACATATCTGTGCATGAACATTAATCCAGTTAGGTGCTGATGGATGATACTGTTCTGTCAAATACAACTAAGTTTTCACCGTCATCAATGTTGCTGTCAAAACTACTACTTATATTACCCATAATGACAGTGACAGATCTAGCTCAGTACGACTTATTGGAAAATTGTTACAGGATCAATCCCTGAGTGAATGAGAAAATTTACAGTCATTTATTCCTATCGTCACATCCAACAAACCCATTCCCCTCATTCAAACTAAAATGAGAGGTTTGTATTGGCCAATGGAATAACATAAGAAGATGACGTCGCTGGTCACTGATTGGCTGCAACTGAAATTTTAATATAAATATTTATAAAAATGAAGGGAATGGCTTTTCAATTATAGTACCAAAAACTGAAACACAAAATATTAAATTCTTTTTAATTTGTATTTTTTCCAGATCACGACAAATAAAGTGGCTGTTTGTCTGAAGTCTGATTTGTTATAACATCCAGATATGATGACGTCATGAATGATGTGGATGAAGACTAGGGGCAGAACAGATTGAATATGTATTGCACGTGACTTTAAAGAAGCTTACATTCTGAGATTCCAAATATGATTTTTCATAAAATTAATATCCAGTAGGTAGGATCATGGAGGATACACCCTAGGGGTACCAGATCATGAAAGGCGAATTACGAACTCCTCAGATCTATATAAAAAAAGTAAAGTTTACTGCGGTCTCACCTCTACCCACACTGTCACTACAACACTCGTGCACGGTATGTTTTCACGACATATCAACAATCACAACACTGCCGAGAGAGGTCGCCATATTTGTTATACCCACAATGCAAAGCATTTATATATGACCTTACATGACCCCGGACTGAAAACTAAAACGTCCCAACCACACATCTGTAACGAGTAATATCGCTCAACCGGTATGGGATAATGCACTTGGGTCCGGTTGAATGTTTACATGCGACTTACGCAGGGCTATAAATAGTACTGATTAAGTTAATTATCTCGGGTGCAAGGGTGCATGGAACACAGACACGTATCATAATATAGCATTTTGTATCAGTATTATAACATTCCACACTCGGACTGTAACATTAACGGACTAGATTTTCACCATAATGATAAGATACATTACTTTCTTTTTAGAAATCTTGTCACCTTTCCTCTGAGCATATAGCGCCGATATAGTCCGTTAGCAGCCTAACAGGCGATGGTAACGTAGTCATGGACCGGATTACTTATACAATGCGGCTCAGACTTCTTTTAGTGGTTATCTTGCAGCAAGGACGCCATCGCTCATTTTCTACGGCACTTAAAGACAATGAGTATACTAGATTGTACAAATATATTTGTCATCACGTTCTTTGGTTCTACTTGAAGTTTGAATTTTCTATTCGAAATAAACTTACTAAAACCAAACAATGCTTTTTGTATATTCAAGCTCAATTTGTATATCATATGATTTCCCCGTTCAATAGTAAGTTCATGGATGACCCGCAAAATATAAATAGCAATAAATTCCAAATTTATGGCCTTCCTCGTTGGGAATTACTGTTACTCAAAATCTAGATTATTCAGTGTGAAAACGTAACAACTTTCTGAAATCAACCAACGAGCTGGATTTATGAAGCAGCTTTCTTCTCTTATTACAGATGGAATTTCATAATCATATCTAGTACTTCTTTAATTGTATACAAGCTATGAAACCGCGTCTGTAGACAGAGATAGTTGATCAGCATATCAGCATATCAGCATATCAGCATATCAGCATATCAGCATATCAGCATATCAGCATATCAGCATATCAGCATATCAGCATATCAGCATATCAGCATATCAGCATATCAGCATATCAGCATATCAGCATATCAGCATATCAGCATATCAGCATATCAGCATATCAGCATATCAGCATATCAGCATATCAGCATATCAGCATATCAGCATATCAGCATATCAGCATATCAGCATATCAGCATATCAGCATAATCCTAGGATAAACACCCATTAAATAATAAACATTTGGCTTTTTTTCTAAAATATATGAATTAGCATACTTATCTGTAACAAATTCGTAACATACTGTAATTGTTTTCACATTTTGGCAAAAGTCATCAGTATGAAACACTTTTAAATATAAAAACTGTCATGTCACGAAAACATGTGAAAATCAACTTGAAGTCGACATATGAAAATTAAAATTACATTACAACTTTTTAAAACAAAATTAGCGGCACTATCCTTTTAATAATATATGCACTATGTTGAAATTGTGGATTGGTTAATGATGAGACATTAACTAGAGAAATTTACAGTACTTAGATTTGTAAATACTAGACACCGGGAAGATTTTGTTTGTTCTTGAAGGTCAATTACATTGTAGGTATGCTAGTCTACTAGAACCTCTATTATTCTCAAAACAAAATGGGTGACAAGGTCAGGGCAGGATATCTACTTTTAATATCTGACAATTATTATATCGGTTTTTATATATGTTATGTTTTAGTTTGTCATGGGGGATGATGTTTTGCGTATACACGTATAGTGAAACCAGTTCAAGACTACGAGATCGAGGCTGCATCCGGGTTATTGATTGAGGCTCAGACAACAAATGTGGTTGTCTGCGAGTTCATACTTGATCTAAGCATGCTAATACAGAGGCGGCGGCACGAAATGTTGCATGAGGGCGAGATCTGATATCTAGACCCTCTGAAACGCTATTTCCTGCATTTTGAGGGGCACATTTTGCTGAAACAAAGGGTTTCAGCTTGATTTGGGAGCGACATTTTTTCCGAGTGGGTGACCACCCCTCTGCCCCACC